GACAACAATGACAGCAGCCACTGCTAAATAATCAAGCGCCAGTGTTTTCCTACCAAATGAGCAAGGGGTGCCAAAGCATACAAGCTGACGTCATTCCCCAGCACTCCGCAAACAATGACAGCTTGCAGCAACTTCGCCGGCCTCGCTTCGTTTTCCAAAGTATTGTCTTCTCTCTGATTGGTAGGAGAGGAAAATGTGACCATCGCAATTGGCTGAAGTTCTGACTTGAGCCAGCCCTCTCCTCTCACCCAGTATATTATGATTCAATGACTGATTCAGTCTTAGGCAGGATTGCCCCGCCTCTCCCTTCATCTTCCCATTTTGATTAGCTAGTTTCCCTGTCACTCTCTCCGGCTTCTCACTGTTCCCCTCCGCCCCTCTTTCATTGACGCGCTTGTCAAGTGAGGATTCCATTGGTCTTCCCCGTTACGCTCTGACTGTGCGGCCTACGATTCGCGTTTGGACTTCGGCAAGCCGCGCCTCCTCCTCTCTATGCGTTATGTGATTAGTGGAGGTGGCCGTCAATGTCTCTACTTTCCCCGCCTTCTGCCATTCCGAATCAGGAAGTGCTGGGGATCTGTTTCTGCGATGGGAAGGCGAGCAGATCCTGGGTCTATGGTGAGAAATAAAGCCGGTGGTTTTGGAACTGAGCGGGAGCGCGGGATCCCTTTTTGGCTCTCCCTTCTCACGCAGGGTTAGGGGGTGGGGCTGCCGGCAGCGAGCCGGCGGGGTTTTCCTTCTTTCCAAATCGGATGGCCTCAGGTCTTGTCTTGGGTTGAACCGAAGGCTCCCGAGGAGGGTTCTGACGTCAGGCTGACCTTGCAGGACCAGTTCTAACAGCGCATCTGGTTCAGTATCCTGTTTTCCGAAACATCCGGCCAGATGTGCTGGGAAAGATCCCAAGGAAGTTGGGGAAAAGGTATTGATTGGCCTGCTCTTCGTGTCCTCAAGGGTGCTGCTTGGAGCTTCTGGTTTCACCGTGAAACTAATCGCTGCTCATAGAGCTAATCTTTGTCGGCCTCCAAAGTTAAACTAATAGATTTCTGCGTTTGTTGAATTTCTAAGGATTCACACTCTCTAAGGAGTGTTGCAAAGCCTGCATGGCGCCAGAGAATTGCAGCAGTTTAGCCCAAAAGCACAGCAAACGTGCCAATGGTATGATAGGAAATCGTTTTCATGGAAACAAAGGGCTACATCTGACTCCTCTGAATGAAAAATCTTTTAGAAGCAGCAACACCTATAGAATTATCCACTAATTGTACACAATGTTAAGAAAACAAAACAAGCTCCATTTTAGCAATCTTGACACTTTCTGACAATTTGTTTCCTTGGATCACTCACTTATAGTAGAGGAGGACACTTAGTGGGGGATAAAGGGGTTTGTAAGTCTTTTTGTGAAAGGGAAACTTGTGGGGCTGAGTTATTCTGAAATTGTTGAACCTGCTAACATGGGGTTGCATTCTGAAAATGTAAGTGCTGTCCTTTCTGAACTTCTTAAATGGCTTGATGTCTATCTAATACTGGATGGTGATGTCCTTGCAAATAGATGTAGGCTTGTGTACAGAGATAAAGAGATGTTCTGACCTGGCCATAGATAAATGGAATGTCTTATCTTTCAACTCTCTCAATTGCTTGAGAAATTTCTCAGTTGCTTGAGAAATTAGTGAAAAGGATATGTCTCCATCTGAAACATGCGGCATCTTCTACTTGAAATTAATAAATGGTTACCGTCTTCTTTGCAGGCTGCTTGGCTTACACAGGTGCCTGTCAAAGAGATTGTCCAATTCCTGAATTATCCTGGGGTGAACTCAGATTTGTTTGTTTGTTTGTTTGAGACAAACTGATTTGGTAAGCAATCCTATAGCAGATTGTTTTTTTCATTTGGCTGTCAGTAACCTCATTGCTTCTGATACTATAGTGTGTTTGTGAAAGAGATTCTTACTTTCTGGAAAATATTGCCTTCATGTTAATGCTTCAGATGGGCGGATGCTACTTGAAATATATAAATACTCTTCTCATATTTGTTTAGCTATGTAGTACAGTAATGCTTTATTCCATACTGCTGTACTTGTGTCATCAGTATGATAATTGAACTTTAAACAATATCACCCAGCACTGCATAACTAGTTCTAACAGGCTTTGAGGGTGAGGATAGCAGTATATGGAACTTGAGAGCGAGGCAGTTTTCCATTTTTCCAGATGCCAGCTTTGGGACAGGGATGGTGTTATAGCATCATTTGGGTAGGATTTTTTCTAGGGTTGGCAGCATGATACCATGTCTCCTCTGGAACCCAACTTTTTTATTATCATTAAACAAATATGATTTAATTTGTTTATTATTTTAGTTTAGTGTTTCAGGGTTCTTGCATGAGATCCTTCAAAAATGTGGAGACTTTGCTGATTTTATTGATTTTAATTTGTATACGTTTGGGTTTACCATGTTTCTGGCAATGGCTAACTATATGTCTGATGGAAATTGCTATTCACGATTATATTGCTGCCCCCTCGCCCCCCCATCTCGAGGACTGAGGGAGTTGAATATAATTCCTTGAAGGAGATCTAGACTGTTCTGAATGCAGCAATTTTAAATCCCCTATTTAGGTATTGTGTTGGCTTCACTATTTGCGATGGCATACAGATTGTCTACAAGCTAGAAATTCAGGCAGCAGCTTTGCAAATCAGTTAACAAAAGTTATTGACATTTTTTTACCGATTGCCCATGTTTAACTATGGTAGTGGCCTAATGACCTAGGAAGCAAAAAGAAATATTCAGGTACATTTTTTCTTCTCCCTTCATCTCTGTTTCCAGTTAGTAAAAATTTTTCTTGCACTATAATTTGAAGGTATTTCTTCCTTAACTCAGCCGGAACAATATTTACAAGCCTGTTGTAAATTTGAGAATGATACTTTCAGAAGAGAAACTTCTCAGTTTAACAGCAGCTGAAATGGCAGATTGTGCACAATAGGAAACCAAATGCTGTACTGTACTGATTTAGCTGGTATCCTTTACTTAATTTTTTTTTTGGGGGGGGGGAAACTTCAAGTTTCAGATAAGAGATGGAGACATGTGCTTCTTCTTTCTTTTGAAATTGATATTTAGGGGCATGATGTCCCCAGCTGAGAGGTTAAGTTGAGTCTCCAGGCTAATAATTTTCAACGTACTTGTCCTTTGTGCACTTATTTAGTACCTTTAATGCCATCCAAGTTATTGGCCACCATCATGTCTTGTGATATGCACTCTACAGATTATGTCTTTGTAAGAAGCTTTGACTGTAAATCTCTTTTTGAGCCAGCTTTGCTGAATGGCCCCTGGTCTTAGTCTTTTGGGACAAACAGTTTTCTAGCTCCATAGGCTAGGTTCACATGCTGTACTAAGTCATAATGTGGTTCGCTTGGTTTTGGCTTATGCTATGTTGATCCACAGCTATGGTTTACAGGTAAGGGGTTTTGTCTTTCTGTTATGTGAGAATCTATTCCAGTGTAGCTTATTCATTATGATTTTTAACTCATGGTTAACAAAATATCTTAATGCCATGTGTATTAAATCTGATTTCAGTCTATATCAATATTTGTTTCTCAACCGGGTATATGGGACATTTTGATTAGAAAAACAAACATTCTTCATAGCTGGCAGGTTCGTTTTTAGTTCTTTACATGATAAGTTGCACTTACCAAAATATCTTCTATAACAATTTAAAGTAAAAAAAAGATATATCCTTGTTGGCATCTGCTTATTTCCAGGTTATTTCTGTTCTATTTAAACCAAAACAGAACAGCAAAAAATGTAGAAATGTCTCCAAATCTTTCTCTTTTTCTTAAGTATGAGTACAGCCAATTTTTGTTCAGTATTCATTTGACACATTGGATGACAAACCAGCCAAGTACACTATAGTCCAACCTATTGTGTAAACCTAGTCAGTGGAATTAGTTTATAGCTTATGCACTCCTAATCAGACTAATTGAGGACACTAATAATAAATACCTTGTGTGAACACAGTCTATCCAGTAAAAGGTCAAAAGAGGGAGAACATATTTCTCCCCAAAGAAAATCTGGACATATGTGCATGTAAAAATTGTGTGAATTTATATGCTTGGACGAAAACTTAGAATTAGATGTATCTCCATCTGTAAAATTGTTTTTACAGAATAATGGATATTTAAGATTTCATCTCTCTAAGATTACAAAATATATTTGTATATCTACCCCCAAATAATGTATTTGCTATTTGCTTCTATACTGGCTTTGTTTTTTATTTGTTTTGGACTTTATTACACATTGTTTATATACTCAGTGCTTATTGATGTCATGTTTTTTTCTTATTTGAAATAATTATGTAAATAACATACCATTAATATGGGGAAAGCTAACCTGTGAATGTCTTTGCGTCTAGCCCCTTCAGCCCCCTATCCTTGTAGAAATTATTAATGGCCAATTTCAGGGCTTTTGCTCCTTTTTAACGGTGCTTTATCTCTAAACCAGGATTCCGGCAAATAGCTTTTCAGGCTGAGGACTGTCTTCTGTAAAGAAAGTTTAGAGTTTGGTTGAATTTTATCAATTATAGCCATGACAGAAACAAAGAAGATTGCTTAAGGAGATGCAGCCTCCCCCAGGAATGCAGCTCCAGAAAATTGCTTGTAGTGATTAGTGGCCACACGGCATTTCCTGCTGTCTCTTTGAGGCAACCCCTGCTTGGGCATGTGATTGAGATTATAGCTGGGACAACAGGCACATATCGCAGATTGAGTTTTGCAAAGAGCCTGGAAGTGGCTGTGTCCTTTCCCTCAATCGGGGTTGGTACATTCCGACTTGAAGAGTTGCACACTGTTTGTTATTAGGGTGGAGGGCATAGGACTCTTGGGAGGTGGTACTTGTAGCTCTGTTCCTAATTTGAGAAATGGGTTGGGCCTAGTGAGGAGGCACCATAGCACCTGCATCCTGTTTGCTACTCAGAGAATTTCCTCATGTTTGCTTATTGTCTTTGCAGTTGCTGTTTGAGATGTAGAGATGGAGAACAAAGAGCCTGGCTTACCTTGTGAAGGGGAAATGGAGCTCCTTGTCCAGAAATGTGGGCTGGATCCTACAGACAGAAGTGAGTACTTTGAGCTATCTGGTTTGGAGCTACAGAGCGGGGCAGAAAGTGTAGTGCTCAAATACACCCCCTTTGAGGACCACCAGGCTCTCTGCTTGTCTAACTTAGATTCATTTCATTAAAAAAATAAATAGGAAACCACTTGCTGAAAGCTACATCAGCTTCTCACAACATTTATTTACAATAACTGCCTTTTAGGTCTCTATGGTTTAATGGAGAGCATCTTGTCTGAAGTAGATTAATTCCTGGGAAGTGAATAATTTGTGGCAAGCATTTTGTGTACAGGCAGATTTTCCAGGGCAACTAT